CCACAGCAATTTTATTCACTGCTGGAGATGAGCTAACTAGGATGATTACTAATTACACTGTTTTTGAATTTAGATGAAAAGTGTTGAAGTCACTGTATGGTGTGGAATGTGATTAGTTTTGAATGCTGCTTTAGACTGAGCTTGTACCTTGGCTGGGACAAGTGGGTGTAAAGTCAGCCTTTTCTCTGAGTGTGGAAGCTCGATGGTCAGAAGGTCACCCTCGGCCCTCCATTCTCACCTCATCTTTCTGTAGGTGACGACCGGAAAATACTGGAAGAGAACAACTACGGCAATTTACTTCGTCCGCGTGTAGATTTTTAAAAATATTCTCTTGAGCAGTTAGTTATTTCAGGGTTGCTATTATTAATCTTAATCAGAAAGTATTTTCAGCAAATAATTTGCTTAAGATGGAAAAAAAAGTAAGGAAAATTTAATAATTAAGACCTCAACTTAAAACTACCACCTGATTAAATACTCATGGAGAAGTGGAAAAGAAACTACGCCACTCCATTCTAATTTTAACTTTCCTTTGGGCCACTAATTAGAGGTATATTTTGAAAGAGCCTTTTTTTATGCACTTATGACAACTTTTCTAGAAAGGTGTCTACTAAGACAACTTTTCTTAGTAAAGAATATTCATTCTGAGACTTTATTTTAGCAATGGTAGTCATTCTGACTGGCTAAATTGACCACTTAAGAAATTTACAAGAGGTAAAGCACTGTAATAGTCGTTCCTTTGTTCAAGTAGGTTTTCTGTGTGAGACCAAAATTGAGAGACTTCACATTTTTGCTTTTAGAGGCTGGACTCTAGAATAATTACTAGCAGATTCATTATACGAGATGTTGTTTATAGTTCACACATAGGGAATAATTAGATCCATTTGCCTTCCTAAGAACTGCAACCTTGTTGTTTTGTTCTTTCTTTTTTTTTTTTTTTGGTGAGGAAGATTTGCCCTGAGCTAACATTTGTTCCCAAACCTCCTCTTTTTTTTCGCTTGAGGCATATTAGCCCTGAGCTAACATCTGTGCCAATCTTCCTCTGTCTTGTATGTGAAATGCCTCCATAGCATGACTGATGAGTGGAGTCAGTCCCTGCCTGGGATCTGAACCCATGAACCCAGGCCACTGAAGAGGAGTGTGTGGAACTTTAACCACTAGACCACGGGGCTAGCCGAAAAAGCTGCTACCTTTTGATCCAAAAAAGTTGTTGACCAACTTTGAATTCTAACTTTAAAGTGGAAAACTACAGTAATTCACAGTTGAATTTGAAATTCAAATACATAATTGCTTACTAACCATTCATAAGGTTAAGAATAAACCTAAATTCAAATAAAAAGAATGCTCCAGAAACAATAGCATTTTCAGCATGCCATACATATAGCCATAAATTCTAATTTACACTAGCTTCTGAATTGCCGGTGCTAGCTCTGAGGCAAAATTGAGGTTGTGATTCCCATGCTGCCCACTTTCGTCATTGTTCAGCTACTGTGAAATAAATTGCAACATGTTTTTATGATGTGGGTTATTTTTTGTTTGCTTTTGTAATGTTTAAAGGTAGAGGATGAAAATAATGAATATTAGGTATTAGTCTTACTACAGTAAATGCGAGGCCACAGTAAACTAGGAAGATAGCTGGACTCCATTCACACTGGGCGTGTGTCACTTTACAGACACATCACCTGCCTCGCACCCTAACCGGCATGCAGACTTTATTGTTGAAGTCTGTGTGTCATTGTCAACAACTATACTGTAAACCATGATTCAGGTCCTTTTTATCATTTCAATATAGGTCTTGAAACTTTCCTAATGTACATTCTATATATTAAATTGTACCTGCATAGATTCAAGTCATTGTTGTCTTTGCTGCAGTGGGCTTCTTCCAGTGTTTCCAGCAGTGCGAGACTATTGTCTGTATTTCTGGTCCTTAACCTTGAGGCCATATACCCTGGCGATCTGTTTGATAGTAATACTTGTTAGTGTCTAAAACACAGCACTTCATAGCCAATGTCTATTGATGTATAGCACAGCAAGTACTGGTACTCTCAAGTTGTGAGACATTAATCAAGAAAATTCTAAAACTTCTTTTGATGCCTTTGTTATAGGCAAAGACATGTCTTGTTTCAGACTATATTTCTGGACAGAAGTTCTGTGTCAGGAACAGAGTAAGACTATCTCGAAGTCTTGCCACTGCTTTTCCATATCATAACAGAAGTTCCAGCTAATGTTATAAGAAAAGAAAAAGGAACAGGGGCTGGCCCCGTGGCCGAGTGGTTAAGTTCGCGCGCTCCGCTGCAGGCGGCCCAGTGTTTCGTTGGTTCGAATCCTGGGCGTGGACATGGCACTGCTCATCAAACCACGCTGAGGCAGCGTCCCACATGCCACAACTAGGTGGACCCACAACAAAGAATATACAACTATGTACTGGGGGCTTTGGGGAGAAAAAGGAAAAAAAATAAAATCTTTAAAAAAAAAAAAGAAAAAAGAAAAAGGAACAGAAAAATGGCATGCAGATTGAGAAGAAAGAAATCAAACTGTATTTATTCACAGATAATTGTCTTATTATCTCTGTAGAAAATCCAAAAGAATAAACAAAAAAAACCTCCTGGAACTAATACGTGATTATAGAAAGGTTGCAAGATCCATGATTAATATACAAAAATCAGTTGATTTCCTACATATCAGCAATGAGGAATTTGAATTTGAATTTAGAAACACATCACCATTTCCATTAGCACCAATAAATGAAATAATGAGGTATAAATCTAACAAAATAGGTATAAGATCCTTATAAGGGAAACTACAAAATTCTGATGAAAGAAATCAAAGAAGATCTAAATAAAGGGAAGGATATCTCATATTCATGCGTAGGAAGGCTCATTATTGTTAAAATGTCAGTCCTTTCCAACTTGATTTATAGATTCAACACAATCCCAATAAAAATCCCAACAAGTCATTTTGTGCATATCAACAAATTGATTCTAAAGTTTGTATGGAGAGGCTAAAGATCCAAAATAGCCAACACATCATTGACAAACAGCAACGAAGTCAGAGGACTGGTGCTACTTGACTTCAAGACTTACCATAGGGCTGCAGTAATTAAGACAATGTGGTATTGGTGAAATAGCAGACACGTAGATCAATGGAACAGAATAGAGAGCTCAGAAAGAGATCCATGTAAACATGGTCCACCGATCTTTGACAAAGGAGAAAAAGTAATTCGATGGAGAAAGAATAGTCTTTTCAACAAATTGTGCTACAGCAATAGGATATCCACATGCAAAAAATGAATCTAGACAGAGACATTTCATAAAAAGTAACTCAAAATGGATTATAAAACTAAATGTAAAGACAAAGCTATAACACTTTCAAAAGAAAATGTAGGAGAAATTCTAAGTGACTTTGGGTTTTCCAGCAATGTTTTAGATACAACACCATAGTCCATGAAAGGAAAAATTGGTAAGATGGACATCTTTAAAATTAAAAACTTCTGTTCTGTGAAAGACACTGTTAACAGGATGAAATGAGGAACAACAGACAGGGAGAAAATATTTACAAAAGACAGAGCTGATAAAGGACTAGTGTCCAAAATATACATTCTTAAAAATGAACAATAGGGGGGCTGTCCCTGTGGCCGAGTGGTTAAGTTCATGCGCTCCACTGCAGGAAGCCCAGTGTTTCGTTGGTTCGAATCCTGGGAACAGACATGGCACTGCTCGTTGATGCATGCTCAGGCGGCGTCCCACATGCCACAACTAGAAGGACCCACAACGAAGAATATACAACTATGTACTGGGGGGCTTTGGGGAGAAAAAGGAAAAAAATAAAATCTTTGAAAAAAAATGAACAATAGGAAAACAAACAACCCATTTTAAAAAATGGACAAAATATCTGAAGAGACACATCACCAAAGAAGATATACAAATGGAAATAAGCATATGAGAAGATGTTCAACCTCATATGTCCTTAGGAAACTGGAAATTAAAACAACGGTGAGGTAGTACTACACGCCTATTAGAATGGCTAAAATCAGGAACCCTGACAACATCAAATGCAGACAAACATGTGAAGCCGCAAGAATGCTCCTTCATTGCTGGTGGGAATGCAAAATGGTACAGCTTCTTTGGAAGACAGTTTCTTACAAAACTCATCATAGTCTGACCATATGATCCAAGAATCTTGCTCCATAGTATTTACCTAACTGAGTTGAAAACTTACGTTCACATAATGTGGACATGAATGTTTATGGCAACTTTATTCATAATTGCAAAAACTGGAAGCAACCAAAATATCCTTTAATAAGTGAATGGATAAACAAATGATAGTACGTTCATATAATGGAATATTATTTACTGATAAAAAATGAGCTATCAAGCCATGAAAAGATAAAAAATAACCTCGAACACATATTGCTAAGTGAAAGAAGCTCATCTGAAAAGGTTATATACTGTATGATTCCACTATGTGACATTCTGGAAAAGGAAAAACTATAGAGACAGGAAAAAGATCATTGGTTGTCAGGGATCAGGAGAGAAGGAGAGATTAATGGATAGAACACAGAGGGTTTTGAAAGCATTGAAAATATTCTGTATGATACTACAATGGTGGATACATGACATTATGAATTTCTCAAAACCCATAGAACTATAGAACACAGAGAGTGAACACCAATGTAAATTATAGACTTTAGTCAAAAATAATGTATCAGTATTGGTTCATCCATTTTAAAAAGTGTACTGCACTAATGCAAGATGTTAATAATAGGGGAAATGATGTGTGGGAGAGGGGAGAGGGAGTATATTGAAACTCTCAGTACATTCTGCTTAATTTATCTGGAAAACCTAAGAAACTTCTCCAAATAATAGTCTATTAATTTTGTTAAGAAGGTCTGTGTTTGAAAAGAAGTTGCATTATTTTCTTTATTAATTAATTAATATTTGTAAATTTATGGAAATGAAGCTAATAATGTCATTTAACAGAATTGCTTTTCTTTTCTTAACCAGCCAGAATTTATACATACATGCTAGAGAAGTCCCGACTTGTTTCACAACCTCTTGGCCAGAGCAATTTTCTCATTTTCTACTTGATGATGGATGGGTTGTCCGCTGAAGAAAAATATGGACTTCACCTTAATAATTTATGCGCACACCGGTAAGTGACTACATATTTCCTATGTAGTAGTTCTGTCTTCAGTTCTGATTGCATTTCAGTGGTCTTAAAATTCTCTTGTTTTTTGGACAAGAAATGGTGACTAAAAGAGAATAATTGGATACTGTTAGGCTAGAAGCATCTGTATAACAGGGTTATAACAGTTTATTGAATGTTTAGGTGAAGTTTTGCTTGTGTATAATAACTTATGTTTCCGTTTTCCCAGTTTTCAGATTAGAATAAAAAAATTAGTGCATATATAAGGTTTTATATTCCTTTTGGGTATTTTGGATATAACATATCATGACATTAGTTATGCATTCCTAATCTTTGGTAGTCTTTGAAATAATGGGAAATATTATTTGGCAAATTACTGTTCATTGGTAACAGATGAGGTTCCATAATGGCTTAAGCGGAACAGCACACACAGACTGAGGAGCTGATTTTCTGCACTGGAGGCAGGAAGCATTTGTTAAAATGAGGATGCAGTGGTCATAGGATGGTGATGGATGTGAGGCGGTCATAAAGATGCTGAGCTGAAGAATGTCTTTGTATTGTGCGCATTTCTGCCCACTGCCTGATCCAATGTGTGTCCTCACAAGGACTGGTTCAGATTTGCATTAGGATGAGAACAAAACAATAAGGAGAGTAAACTCCATTCGGAAGAGAAGTAGGAGGGAGGAGGAAACAAGAGGGAACCAAACTCACCAGTAAATTTGTAAATTCGTGGCAAGGCATTCAGGAAGTAGACTCTGGAAGAGATAAGAATTTGCTTCAGATATCTGTTAACACCTGATTTATAGTTTATCGGGCGTTTGTTATTAGATTCAAGAAGAATGGTGTGAGTTTTCATAATTTTATGAGACCTTCGTGAGAAAAATTAAAGAATGCTTAGGGAGGAGGAGTGTGGCTCAAGGATGAAACATGCTGGTTTTGAGAGTTGAAGGTGGAGAAGCTGACAGACTGTCAAGTAGAGGCGTCACCTACAAGCTGGACAGATGAGGGGTTTCCCGGGGTGATGGAGCCGTTCTCTTGGAAGGGGTCGGAGAAGTGACAGGACAACTTCTGTGGTCACCACTGCTGTGAGGTTGAATGATGGTGCAGCATATGGCCAGGGGAAGCGAATGAATTGGCCATATTCTAATTTACCCTTGCATTATAAACAGTCTCATTCAATTCTTTGAAATATTTCAATTGAAAATTTTCAAATCTTTGAAAATATTATGTTCAAGAGTATAGACAGAGTTTGTCATGTTGAGTAGGAGAAAAGTAGTCAAGAAGTTAAGGAAGCCTATGAAAATTGTGTTTTATTTCAAATGAAAGACTGTTTGGGGGTTTTTTGTGCCCCTAAACAACAGAAATTCAGAAGAAAAAGAGAACACTTATATTCAAATGTGGTAGCCCAGGCAAAAGTGATGAAAAAAGAAAAAGAAATTATAAGCTTCAGGGCACTAGAAATGTTTTTATCAAAACCGGTCTTTTTTTTTCAGTTATTTTATTGAGATAATAATGGTTTATAACACTGTGTAATTTGGGGTGTACATTATTATTTATCAGTTTCTGTATAGACTTCATCATGCTCACTACCAGTAGTTTAATTTTTATCCATCATCATACGTATGTGCCCCTTTACCCCTTTCGCCCACCCCCAGCCCCCTTCCTCTCTAGTAACTACTAATCTGTTCTCTTTGCCCATGTGTTTGTTTATCTTCCATATATGAGTGAAATCATACATTGTTTGTCTTTCCCTTTCTGGCTTATTTCGCTTAACATCATACCCTTAAGGACCATCCATGTTATTGCAAGTGGGACAATTTTGTCCTTTTATGGCTAAGTAGTATTCCATTGTATGTATACCACATCTTCTTTATCCATTCATCAGTTGATGGGCACTTGGGTTGCTTCCACATCTTGGCTATTGTGAATAATGCTGCAATGAACATAGGGGTGCATTTATCACTTTGGATTGTTGATTTCAAGTTCTTTGGATAACTACCCAGCAGTGGGATAGCTGGATTATATGGTATTTCTGTTTTCAATACTTTGAGAAATCTCCATCCTGTTTTCCATAGTGGCTGCACGAGTTTGCATTCCCACCAGCAGTGCGTAAGGGTTCCCTTTGCTCTACATCCTTTCCAACATTTGTTATTTTTGGTCTAATTGTAGCCATTCTGACAGGTGTAAGGTGAATCCTCTCAGTTTTTAAAGGAGGAAATCAAACCCAAAGCCATAAAGAGGCTTGTACTGAAGTGAATATCCTATCCAACAGGAGTATTGAACAAACCATTACCTGGAAATAGCTTTTTACTTTTCTACATGGAATATCCCTAATGGGACATGTTCCTGGGAAGAATGGCATCAGACTGGGAACTGTGGGTTAGGTGTCCAAGGGTTGCCTGTGAAGAAAAGAAGTCTTGGATTTCTGTGTTCCTAATCTTTCTTGCAAGTGAAAACTCAAAGCTTTAGTAGACCATTGGTTTAGAGAGTGTGCGTGTTTGTGCATGCACATGTGTACGTGTGTATGCCTGGCATTGCGGACATAGAGCCACTGACAAATAAAAGACAATAATCAAATCTACCATTAAAAGAAACAATTAAATATCTGTGGTTTGGACCAGTCTTTTGAAGTGTGTGAGTGTGTGGGAGAAAACAAGCATTTCTTTATGGAGCTCCAGTTCTAAGCTTCATTTCTCTTTGCAAAAGAGTTTGGACTCACTTAGGCTGTTTAGAAAGTCAAACAGTCAGGAGTTGCTTTGTGAGAAGCTCCAACAGGAAAGAACTCAGCAAAATCATGAATAATTCAATTTCCTTGAACAAAGAAGTTATTTTATTAAAATGTATTATAAATGCCTAAGGGGCGCAAAACAACATTCTTCAATAAAAACGTATACCGTTACTCCAGATTCATAAATATGTCAGTTGGAACATTTGTCCAATGACAATTCCACAAAGTATTCTTTAATAATAAAACCAGCTGTTTGCAAGTTATAATGCATTATATATCACAATATTTTTGTGATTTGTGTTAGGTGGGTCTTCCCACTTTTACAGTGCTGGTAAGGTTTGAGGAGTTTATATTTGTATGATATTTGAACTTGTGTTGGGGTCTAGTCTTTCGTTTAGTAATTACATATATTAAGTACCACAATTCTGGAAATTATTTGGCTTGTTTGCAATCAGTAGTATAAATCTAAACTTGCTAGTTTTCTAACCCTCCACAAATTGATGATCTTTCTGAGTCTCTTCCTTTTGAGTACTGTAGGTAAAAGAGATGACTATACATATATATATATATGTATATATAAATACGTATATATGTATATATATATAAACATATATATATGTTGTGTGAATGTATGTGTGTATATAAACATATAACATTATTATTGAGTGCTATTATCATCACATCTACTTATCTGGTTTTCTTTAAAAAGATGTTGGCATATCTATTAAATAGGACAAACCAGCCCCAGCGTTACCATCTGAATCTCTCTTTGCTCGTTTAATCCTCATTCCATGTTATAGCATGTCATAAAATTTTGATGAAATGTATTGTCTTAAGCAAATACTAGAAAAACTTGCAAGCCTGCTTCCTTCAAATGCAGTTTTTCTCTTCTTTATTAATAAAAACTCATTACCTGCATGAAACCTCAAGCAGACATATAACAGTACCTGTGAGCTGAGGGCATACTCAATAGTTATCATACGTTCTGATGTGATTAGAACCCTAAAGAGAGGAAAACCTTATGGTAACTAATGCTTTTATAATTAAAGCTGCAAAAGTGTTTTGTTTTTCTTTTAACTTTGACTCTGTTTTTGGAACTAAAAGTTTTCAAAGTATTACATGAAATTTTATGGGCGTTTATTTCAGCATTAACATAAGAATACTTTCCTGTTTGTGAACTTGGAACAATACCTAGAATAAGCAGGTAGCACTCTTGCTCAAGTATAGAATATAAATGGTACAGATACAGACATCAGCTCCTATAGCTTAACTGCATGGAAACAGTATTTATAACACTTGGTGCAAGAACCTTCCCGTACAGATTGTTAAAACAGCAACAAGAAAAAAGTGTCTGGGTCTTTAACATTTTCAGCGGTGGCAATAAGATTGTGTTTATTGAGAATTCCCACTAGATGGTGCACTCTCCACAAAGTCAGACAGCGAAACAATGCTCATCCCTAAAGGTTTCTTTTTTATTTACGGTTCTTCCTATGATTTACTGTTTTTTGTGTTTTTTTCCTGGCTGTTTATTTTTCAAGTCCTATTTCAAGTTTTTTTTGTAAGTATTACTAACATGACATCTGGGGAATAAATGTCGTTTATGTTCATGGGAATCAAGCTTGAATGAAAGTTAGAAATAGTCTTTAATTGCTGATCTTCAAGCTCCTTTAAACGGCTTTTATGGCGTTAGTCCCAGAAAACTTGGGTTCCAAAACCGAAAAAAGTTATTCCTGATCTTCCTTCGTATGGATTAATGATGGAAATGATCGTGGAGCTGCATCATAACATTTTCGGGAAAGGTCAGATTTTGAATTATACTCTGAGAGCAAGCAATCGTTTGACTCAGAGCGTGTGACCTGTTTCTAACCTTGGGTGTCAGTGAAGGGAAACTCTGACTCACCGAGTGTTTGAACTTGTGATTGCTGCCCGGGAGCATGCCTGTCACAGCAGAAGTGCAGCCATTAACTCTCAGCAAAAGCTCATTTTTTGCAAAGGGTTTATTATGCACGTTGAACTTAATCTGAGAAAGTCTCACATAATTTTTAAAAAAGGTAAGAGCAAACAAATATTATTTGAGGGTGATTCTTCATAATTTTTTGATATAATAAAATATTTACTTGGCCACACATTTTAGACAAGGAAAGCGTGAAGGTGATCCCAAGACAAAGGTTTGACACAGGAGGCATTATAACCTATTTCTTACTGACTCTATTATTATCTATGTGACAATCACAATTGTAGTACATACAGCTTATGGAGTGCTTTCCATAAACAGAGC